TTCCGATCTCGGGACAGCGGGTACCGGGGTACCGGGACAGGGGGTACCGGGGTACCGGGACAGGGGGTACCGGGACAGGGGGTACCGGGACAGGGGGTACCGGCATACCGGGACAGCGGGTACCGGGACAGCGGGTACCGGGATACCGGGACAGGGGGTACCGGCATACCGGGACAGGGGGTACCGGGACAGCGGGTACCGGCATACCGGGACAGCGGGTACCGGGACAGCAGGACAGGGGGTACCGGGACAGCGGGTACCGGCATACCGGGACAGCGGGTACCGGGATACCGGGACAGGGGGTACCGGGACAGCGGGTACCAGGACACTGGGACAGTGGGATACCTGAAGACCAGGAAAAAAGGTACCAGGATACCGGGACAGTGGGACACCAGAATAATGGGACACCGAGATACCGGGACAGCAGGATACTTGGGACAGCGGGTACCAGGATACCAAGATAACGGGACAGCAGGACACCAGGACAGTGGGTACCAGGATACCAGGACAGCAGGATAGGCAGACACCAGGACAGCAGGATATTGAGGTATCAGGACACCAGATCAGGATATAAGAACATTGGGACACCAGGATACCAAGATACTGGGATACCAGGACATTGGCCTACCAGGACACTAGGACACCAGACTACCAGGATGCTGGGATACCAGGACACCAGGATACTGCAACACTGGGAGCAGCGCTGGGCACTGGAGTTGGCAACCTGTGCCCTGACACTTGTCCCTGCCTTGTCACCTAACCCTACTCTCTCACCTACGCTGTCCCATGACATCTACTCCTGTCCCTGTGTCACCTAGCCCTGCCCTGTGCCACTTATCCCTGTCCCACATCAGCCACCCTTAATGTCACCTACCCCTTTCTTGGCACCTAGCCCTGGCCTGTCACTCTGCCCTGCTGCCTCCTCCTGCCTGTCACTCCATTCCTTCTCCAAGTCCCCGCATTCTTTCCTGTGCCGCCTAGCCCTACCCCAGTCACCATCTCCATGCCCTGTGTCAGCACATCTCAGCCTCTGTCCACCTGCCTCATGGCAGCTTAATGGCTCATGATTTGCTGGTCCTGGCAGGAGGAGCAGGGCAATGGCAGTCCCTATGTCACCACCACCAAGGGACCGTGCAATGGCTGCAGCAGGGCTGTCACACCCATGGCTGGAGCGAGGACAAAAGACTTGGACACTGCATCAATCTTTTGGAGGAAAAACTAAGGAATCCTCAGATCAAGGCTCTGCCATCCCTGCTGGAGCAGATCTCCTTGGGGGATAGAAGGGATGCTCAGTCCAAAACACATTTCTCACCCTGGCTCCCCTTGCCGCTCACCAGCTCGTTGCAGGATTTTCTTTTCCCAAGTTTTCCCAAATGACAGGGAAGTTTCCAGGCCCAAACAAAACAGCCACACATGGGGTTTGTCACTGGCTCCAGCACAGCCTGCCCAGGGGAAGCGTTGCCATGGCTACAGAGAAAAAAAAAAATAAATTCAGATCCAGCAAGAAGGCTGAGCCGGTGGAAGTGCTTAATTAAAGATGAGAAGGCATCAGGGAAGTTCAGATGTGCGCAGAGCGGGGACGCAGTTGGCAGCAGGCAGCTGCTGGCAGCAATCCAGAGCACTGCCCATCCTGCCGGGTGCTGGTGCCTCTTATTTTTGTCCTTTGGCTGGAAGAACAGGGGGGTGAGGTTCTCCCTCTAAATGGCAGGGGCCTGGAGGAGCTCAGTGCAGGGGAGATGGAGCCATGCCTGTCTCAAACGCTGTGGGAGGCTGAAGCAGGGCAGGACACAGGACCTCAGGCATGGGAAGAGATGCTGTGCCAGCATCCCATGAGGAAAGCCATGCTGGGACACTGAGCACTGTGATGGCCTTCTCCTCTTCCCTGCTGCACAATGCAGCCTTCAGGCACACATGGGACACTGAAGGGTGTCCTGTGTATTCCATTCACATTTCCTGTGGTTTGGCACAGAAATTAGTCCAAAAAAGCTTCTTTTTTCCATTACTGCAGTACAATTTTCCCCAGCAGAGCCCATTGCTTTGCTGTCCCACTCCCTCCAGAGCAGAATTTTCTTGAGGGCTGAGAGGGGACATTCACTGCTTCTGCAGGGCTGGGTTTAGAGATGTGTCCCCAGTTGTGCCCAGGTAGGGGAGGGAATGGGCACTGGTCCATGATCTGCTCCACAGGGAGCAGAGCTCCAGCCCAGCACACGGATGGCTCTGGGTCACCATCACATTCATACTGCTCCATGACACCCATCTCTCTGCTAACAAAAAGCCAAGGTTGCTCCAAGTTGGGGCCTGGGAGCAATATTTGGGCTCCAAGTGTACTCCCTGCCTTCTCTGGGAAAATGCTTCCCCAAGCTGCCTCTCTGAAGCAGCTGGTGGGGCAAGAGGGTCTCATTGCTGTAGGAAGGGATTTGCTAAGATTGAGACTTTTAGAGAGGGCTGTGAAGTTTCAGGAAAGGAAGCAGTGGTGGTTGTGCTGCTGTTTGAAGCCATCTCCCAGATGGCTCTCCAGGCACTGGGGATGTCCCTTCTGTGGGAGAAAAGGCTGGATGGTTCCCTCAGGAAAAGGTTCTTCACCCAGAGGGTTGTTGGGCACTGGAACAGACTCCCCAGAGAAGTAGCCACAGCACCAACCCTGACAGAGTTTAGGAAACATTTGGACAACACTCTCAGGCACATGATGGGATTCTTGGGATGTCCTGTGCAGCACCAGGAGTTGGATGTGATGATCCTTGTGGGTCCAGTTCAGGACAGTCTATGATTCAACCTGAACATGCCGTCAGGTTTTGGAAAGAACAGACGATCATGCTACTTACAGAGCCAGGACTTAATTCAGCAGCACACTGAGATCAGCCCACTGCTGTGACCCACATCACTCCCCCCTGCTCTGCACATTCAGCACAGCAGGGAAGAGTTTAGTTCTTTCCTGCAAATGAAATTCTTGCAGTGAAGACCTAAAGCTTTTGGAAAAAATTCCAAACAACACACCACTATAGCAGAATCCTCTTAATTCAACTGCAGGTTTTCAATAAAGAGAAACATCTAAGGGAATTTTGATAACTTGAAATCAAGGCACACACTCACTGCTGAGCTGAGACAGCACAGGTTTTTAAAAGCTTTCTGATTTAAATAGGAAAGAATGCAAAAGGCAAACCTCACATTAAAAAAAAATATATAGTGGGAAACCAAGGCTTGCAAAGGAAACAGGATGAATCACACCATCAGATTTTTTTGGGTCACAGGGTTGTTTCTCAGATAAGTGCAGAGATCTCTACTTAAACACTCATGATATGGTCCAGCCAAGGGCTGTAGCAGAGGTTTCTCCTCTTGGCCTCACACTTTTATGTGAATCTCACATGAAGGCATCAATATAACACCTCTGTCTTCTCCAGGGGACTGTTAACAGCAGGACTGTGTAATCTGGAAAGTTTTCTCTGGGCTGTTGAGCAAGGATACAGGAAAGGCTGGCACAGAGGATGAAGCAGACTGGCTCATGAGTCCGTGGCTGTGAGTGAGTAAAGGAGGGGCCGTGCCAGCTCTGCCCTGCACTGACACAGGTGTTCCATGTGTCCCTTTGCCACGGGTACAGCCACATGGGACAGCCCGTGCTGGTGGCATTCCCTAATCAGGCAGCACCTGGGCTCACTGCCAACCACAGCACTGAGAAAGCCAGGATCATCATGTCATTTGGGGCTCTTTTGCCACTTGCCAGGTGCCTCAGCTTTTCATGTATCTTTCAGCTTATCCCTATGACCACAAAGCCCTGGACTTCAGAAGCAGGTAAGTGGCACAGAGAACAGGAATGAAGAAAGCTGAGGTTGTCATTTCAGCCATGGATGTTGCCAGAAACCACCAAAAGCACTAAACAAAAGGCAGAGCATCAAGGGGACTGTGTCCTGCCTCCAGCATAGATGACTTGCTGCCCTGGTACTACCACAGCCCTCTGCACTTTCCAGCTGCTCTGAAGTTAAGTTGAGGTACTTTGGTTCTTGGAATTTTTTCCATAAGTCTGTCAGCCTAGTGGGATCTGTAAGAAATGCCTGTGCCAAGTGCTGGTCAAATGTTGGTCCTGCTTATCCTGAGCTTTGAGTTCTGGTCCCCCAGGGATGTGGTGCTGTGGGGACTCCCTGGGTTATCCTCCAGCCTGGGGGTTGGATGTACAGGGAGCAGCTAAGCACCTCCTTTCTTTCTAACCCGTGGCATTGGCACAGCAAACAAAAACACAGTTTTCAGGATCACAGCAGGTTTTATTCCCTCACAGTTCCTTCCCCACACATCTTATCCATCTTGCATCACTGTATTTCAGACTTGTGAAATTCATCAGCATTAAAAAACCCACAAAATTATATTAAAAGTATCTCCAAAGCCAGATGAGCTCACTGTGTTAATTTTTGTCTTTCCCCTCTTGCCTGCAAATGAACAAGGTCCTTTCCAAAGTGCCCAGGGCATCTTCCTCTTACCATTGACAGGTAAAAAAGTGGGATGTTCATGCAAAGTTTGGGCCATCCAAGCCAACTCTGGGCAGCTGAAAGAAGAGCCTCAAACTATTTAAAGGCTCAGATGCAATTTAGATTTTTTTTTTTAATTTTTAAATAGACATAATTTGCTGAAGACTTAGCTGTATGGTGATTTTTAGGTTAAATTTTAAATTGCATTTCAGCTGTATTCAGACACAAGAGCACGGTATCTGCCTCCGGTGCAGCTGGAGAGAGGAGCAGACCTGGCCTGCTGAAAGCAGGTGTTGATGCCAAGCTCCTCATCATCTCAAACCCTGCCTGAGAAGTACCAGCACAACAGCAGGGTTTTTTGGATGCTTCCCTTCACATCCCAGCCCAGCCTGACTCTGATTAATTAATGGAGTCTGCTGAAATCCCAGCCTTAGCTACTCTGGCTGCTGCTAGCTACAGCGAGCTGCACAGCTGCCTTCCACTCCCACTTGAGAGACTTTGTATTTACCAAGTATTAATTAGATGAATGTGAAGCACCATTTTCTAGGCAGGGGAAATGATCTGCTCTCTCCCTGCCCTGTAACAAGCTCATACTGGGACAAGTCTGAAAAGGGAGCAGGTAGAAGTGGTTCCTTCTTGCTCTGCACATCTGCCACTTTTCATATTTCCCTGCTTGCGCAGGCAAGCACTTCACTCCTGCCTGATCTGGAAAGGGAACAGCATTATTTTTAAAGATGGAGCTGGAGCCTCTTTCCCTTTGCAGATTACCACCAGAGCTGGTCCCAGAGACTGTCCTGACAGTCAGACACACCAAATGGGAAGAGCTGCTGTCTCTGAGGGCTCCTCCAAGTGCCAAGAGCTGCTGAACAAGTGACTCTGCCAGGAGAGCACAAGCAATGAATCCTTCCTTTCCACAAGTCCTCCAGACCAGGCTGGGCAGATATTTCTCAGGGCTGACCACAGGTAACATTGCCCAGGAGGACACAAGGGAGCCACCCCAAGATCTCCCCTACACCTGAAATGCTACCATTTAATGGAAAATATTCACAGCACAACTGTTCCTCCTGGTGGCAACATCTGCACCATGGATACTGCAGCTGACTCCAGTAATTGCAGCATGAAAGGCTTCAAGCAAATACCCATCTGGAAAAAATGGAAGAAATGTCATGGAAGGCTGAAGGCTGTGACAGAGGGTGAGCGTCAATGGTAAACAACTGGTCAGCTAAATTTAGGAAGGCAGGTTGGGAGCTCTCCACGACCGGTTGGGCGTCTTCAGTTCAGACCACTGAGTCAACTAAAAACATTTAGCTATGACAGTGATGGGCTTTATAGAGAACTACAAGATAAATGAAGGGAAAAAGGTTATCTAATAATTACCATCACTGTTTCACATCCAGCTGCATCCACAGCTCAGCTTGACCTTTGAGGAACAATGAATAATGCACTGTTCTGGTGAATGTTCCCCCTTTCTTGTCAGACCGTCACCACACCGGTAAGGGAGAACCTCTCCTGTTTGTCCTTTACTCACTGCTTGGTCCAATTTCTTTATGTAAGAGGACCAAGAAAGTCCCAGAAAAATATCACACCTGTTTCAAAATATTTCCCCTGTAATTTCGCATTGCTAAAATTTACAAACCATTGGTGCTCCAAAATCTGTTGCAGGGACAGCAGCAAAGCTCATGTGAAACCTGGGATCAAACTGATCTCTCTGCTTTTGGGCACCAGCAGGAAATCAGCCTGCAGTACGGAAGCCACTGATCTCCAAGACATCCAGAAACTGATCAAAACCAGGGAGAGACAGACCTGGATTCTGTTTCCAGCTTGGCAATGTTTACATGGTGCACAGGTAAGCCATTCCTTGTACTGAGCTGAATTTTCACATCCTGCTAAATTGGGCAATGAAACAGAATAGAGAGGTGTGAGGGGTTCTGGGGCTGTGCTGCATTGTAGCAAACAGTTACCAAGCTCTGCAGCTGGTCATGAGGAGCCAAGGATAAGGAAAGAGATGGCTTTCTGGGAGACCTTCTGGGAGGAAAAGGTTGCACAACCCCATAGAATTGCAGTGGTTTTCCAAGCTGTAAAATCAATTGCAATTCACCTGCTCGGCACCATTGCTTGTCCCAGGCAGATCTCATCTTTAGTCTGGCCCACTTCATGTATTCAAAACTCAGTCTTGTGGGCTTCCACTGGCTTCAGACCAGGCCCTACCAGAGCAGGCCCAGCAGGCACCAAGCCCCACAACCAACTCTTGACCTGGCTCATGTGCAATGGGGAGCAGAGATCTGGGGCAGAAGGGTGCAGGAGAGACAGCTGGAGGTCACAGTACTGGGGAACTGCTGACTGGGGTTTGGGAATGTGCTGGACTGTTGACAGTAAGCTGTTTTGGTCACCGGCTACTAACAAGGGGATCATTCTGGCAAAATTCAAAGTGAACCTATGCACCTGATCAGATACAGCACAAAGATCAAAAGGTCTATTTAAAATCATGAGAGAAAGGGACAGTCCCACCACCAGCTCTCCCCCAACACTTGGTAGTGTTCACACACATTATGATATGAAGGATTAATGGCTGGAGGTCATGGAGAGTTTGTGCTTTCCCCCAGCTTCCCAAGGAGGTGCGTGACCAGCTTCTGCAGGGCCTCAGCCCGGACCACTGAGATGCGCAGCACTTCCTCGTGGTTGGCTTTCTCTTGGCTGTTGTAGCTCATCACCACTTTGTTGGTGATGAGGGAGATCCCAAGGACTCGGAGGCCACAATGCCTGGCTACAATTACCTCTGGGACAGTGCTCATGCCTACAGTAGGAGAGGAAAGGACCAGAATGAGTCAGGTTTTACACCAAAACAAGATCTCTCCAAGGCTGCAAACCATGATTCTACCTCCAAGCACATGCCCTTGTCTCATTCCCCCCAGGTCTGTGTTTGAACTCTGAAATAGTTAAAGGCTGTGATATGTACAAGGCTCAAATAGCTGCAGCACTACAGTTACAACTCTGCTCAGCACAATAAACCACCTGCATTTGATCCTTGTGACTTAGCTCCCTCCTCAAGGTGTGTCAGACTGCTTGCAGACTTGCTAAGGAAGTACTGATGTGCTGTGTCATTTGGCTCTTCCTTGGCTAAAATAGATGTTGCAAATAAAAATGGCTTTGAGGGGAGCTGAGCTCCTTTCCTCACACACAACGAATCTGCAGGTATTAATAAACAGACTTTCTTGAGCCAGGGGTCATGGAAGGAATGATAGCTGGAGGAATCATATATATCGTGGCACTTAGTTTTCTTGTACACAGTTGGGAAGGTATCCATTATTACCATCCCTAAACAAGACTCATAAGGAGGGCTGGTTTGTAGAGAAAAAGCACAGTGAAAATCTTTACAATGTCAGAATTAGAAGAAAAATACTTCGTTTTTATTGGGCCCCACTCAGTCCTCCTGAAGTGGAGCCATCTGAGCATGAGAGTTTATGTCTGAGAAATAAACACAAAAGTTGTGCTGGGATCCCTGTCCTGTGCAGCTGTAAGCACAGGGACTTTCTGCAGATCCTCCCAGGAGCTGCACTAAGCCACTGCAGAATGAAGCAGAAATGCACAGAGCTCATTTCTCCAGCCCCAGGAGACTTAGAGAGTCAAAGACTGAAGCAAGTCAGCCTTGAGCAGAATTAACTGTTCAATCCACGTGCCCAAAGAACGCTGGCAGCCCAGCCTGGCAGCTCACCCACAGCATCAGCTCCCAGTGCCTGCAGCAGGCGACACTCAGCGACGGTCTCGTAGCAGGGCCCAGGCAGCAGGCAGTACACTCCTTCCCTGGTGAAGCTCAGGAACCCCAGCTCCTGTGCACTCTCCATTGCCAGGCTGAGCAGATCTTGTTCATAAGCATCTGACATGCAGGGAAACCTCACTCCAAACCTGAAAGGCAGTAAAGGACACAGTCGTGTGATAGTGCTGCTGCTTCCTCTGTCAGAGTCCAGGGATGGTCATTCTTTGGAGAAAAGAAAGTGTTAAGGGCAGACCTGCCATGGATGCAATCACTCCATTCTGCTCTTATCATCAGGTAATTCTGCCATCAGTCATGGAATAATTTGGGTTGGAAAGGACCTTCAAAGGCCATCTCATCAAAACCCATGCAATGAGCAGGGACATCTTCAGCTAGATCAGGATGCTCAAAGTCCTGTCCCACCTGACCTTGAATGTTTCCAGGAATGGGGCACCTACCTGGACATGATATTCCTGCTAGATCTGATCATCCAAGACTGTCAGCACACAGAGGTTATGGATGTTGGAAGGTCTGGCACTACTTCCCTATTGCAGGAACCCTTTCAGGTCTTTCAAGGGCTCCTCTCTCTAGGGAACACTATGGTCAGTTCTGTCTCCCCCCAGTGACTGCTCATGATGACTTTTAAACATTCCCCACCAGACAGCTGCTGCTCTTTGGGCACCCTGAGGCACGGAGTCCCACAGGCTGTCCCTGGTGGGGGTTTGAGCATCAGTCCTTCCATTTAAGGCCCATCACAGCAGGCTGCTATTTTACATCCTGGAGCTCCAAGGCCATATTTCATGTAGCTTTCATCTTCTGCTTCAAGACTGGGTCTCTTGCTTTATGTCTCAAAATAGCATCTCAGTCCTGCTCCTGATAGAGTGAATCTTGCTCTTGACTCAAGGAGAGCAGAAGTACATGGCAAAGATTGTTATGCTGCCACTGAGGAAACCTGGAAAATAAACTCCCAGCCATGTTCATCAACCAGTTCAGTAGGAGTGGACCAGGTCCCTCTTTTATGCTATTAAAGCTTCTGCTTTTTTACATGTTCTTCCAGCTGAATGCTTAGGGCAGTAGCTAGCTTATTTTGTTTTTATAAACACTAAATATTATATAAATAAAAACAAATTTTCTCTTCTGGTCTAAGGTAATAAGTATTCATCACCATGAAAATTGCATCCCTTTTCTGAAGGATGGCCAGCAATGCAGAAACCCAATCTCTAATTTATTTAAAAAATATTATTTCCACATCACTTCATTGCCTCTAGTTTTGCTCTGTTGTACTTAGATAAATTCTTGCTGGTAGCTCAGCTGGACAGGATTTTAGGAGTTTGCTCAGTTAAATCTTTGCAATACTTTGAAACCTGATTCATAAAGACCTTTTACCCATTTTGATGCCTTGGTCAGCAGTACAAAAATCACTTCCCAGAGCACTGCAGTCTTCACCAAGAAGCTGCTTTTGGGAGGCAATGAGGCAGCTCTGCTGCCTTTGAACGTTGTCCAGATGCTGTTGTTTGATTGGAATTTCTCCTCCTGCTCCAGAGCAATTATGCAAGTCCAGAGAGCTTTAAACACTCCATGTGGCTGCTCTGCTTTTGATCACTTTCCTCCAACCCACGGCAATACCTACAAAAATGTAAAGATGTTCCACTTCAGATGGGTACTGTCCTCTTCCCATGGAATCGCAGCACAGTGATTATTTCTCCTGAGGCAGCTGCCAGCACCTTTCAGATTCTTTCAGAAGTGAGAGCCAGGTCTGCTGCTACATCAGAAGGAACTAAGTGAAACCCAGGCAGGCCATCTTACTCTCAGCAGAACTTTCTCTCTGGAAAGACCCGAGGACAATCCAGATGCCTGCCCTCCAAACATGTCCATTTTTGAAGATGGGCCTTCCACCTTAACAGTCTGATGGCGTATTGGAAGGATTTTGGGACCAGAAATTCAATTTGGAAGGGATCTCAGGGTCACCTAGTCCAGCATCCTGCTTAAAGCAAATCCACATCTGATGGCACCTGCAGTTCAGAGGTGAGGATATGTTAGAAGTTCCTCTCTGCACTCTCCATAAGGTAAAGATTCTGCTACACAGCCAGTACAGGAAACCTGACTTCCCAGTTCAGCCAGCAGCAGGTTGCTCTTGCACATCTCAAGGTCTCTGGATACAGCAATGATGATCAGGAAATTTATTCATCTTTGCTCTGCCCTCCACTTACTGCCTGGCCTCTGCTGTACCCATTCCATCACACCAGAGATTGCTGTTGACAAACCCAGGCTGGATTCACAGCCTGTTCACTGATTGCTCAGTGAAGAGGAACCAACAGAGAGAGGGGCTGATAAGAAGAGGAGCAGTGGGTGTCTTTAGCAGATGGTACAGCTGGTCATGTCAGGAGAAGGATCAGAAGCCTACTTGTACAAAACAAAAGCTTCTGGGGGTTTGTGTGTAAACTCTTTGTAGCCTTGTAAAAACAAGCAACAGCCAAGGGAAGCCAAGGCAGGTGGCCCAGCACACACAGCTATTGCTGTAACTCTTCCCTTGTGGTTACCTGGAGCCAAACTCTACCTCCCAGTAAATATTTGTCAGTAGGCACAACTGGCAGTCCCAGCCCATGGCTGAAGGAAGAAAGGATTAGTTGGTAACAATGGACCAGATGCCTTCTTACCTCTCGTCATTTGGTCCACGCAGGGGATTCTGCCCCCCCAAGCCAAACAAGCTGATGTGATCCCTGATGAACATGATGTCTCCCACTTGGAAGTGGGGATTCAGTCCTCCAGCAGCATTTGTGACAATCAAGATCTCCACCCCCAGGAGAAAGAACACCCTGATGGGAAAGGTGACCTGCAAGAACCAAAAGCATCTGTGCAATGAATATCACAGTCAGCAACCAGCTACTGCTCCTACTACCTTTGTAATATCATGATTGGTGGATGCAGAAAGTCCACATATGGAGACAAAACAACCTTCTTCAATTTTAAACATTCCTCTAATTTAAATAGAATATTAATGCTTTTTAAACAAATTTAACAATTGCAATGGAACAAAATCTTGCATTAAAATCCAAGACCACATTTCCTGCAGTTGCACTAAGGTCAAATAAAGGTGGTACAGAAAGAACATGCAGATAGTTTTTGCTCACTGCCAAGGTCTTGCAGAGATCAAACCACTGTGCTGATTGAAGTAACTACTTATGCACATGGACTTGGAGAGTAATCCAAAGTTAAGGAACAATTGGGAGCTGGAGAAAAAAAAAATGTAAGAAGTTTGATTTTGAGGAGTTATAAAGGAATTCAGATGATACCTGCCATCAATCAAATGCTATTGTGAGCAAAAAAATTCCTAATGGACATCACTTCTTCAAGAAATGAATTAATTTTAATAGACAAACATGTCTTGATAAAGCTAGTTTTGTACTGAGTGATTTTAAAATAGTTGTTTTTCCACAAGAAGTTAAGTGGTGCCAAAATTACAATTTATATCCAAATGCAAACAGCCTCTATGCAAAAAGGAAAATCTCAGAGCTATCCAAATTTAAAAAAAGAGCCAATAAATAAATATTATTGTTGTTTTCTAGGAGAAAAGCACATATGTGCATGGTAGGTAACATGAATGTCCACACATTCCAGTATGTTAGCTGGGAAATTCCAGTATGTAAGCTGAGTTCCCAGGCTTATAGCAGCTTGCAGTAGCCTGGGAACTTTTCTAGGTAAAAAAAAAAAAGCTGTAAACTATACAAATGCAATAGAAGATTAAAATAGATTATTCTTATTGAAGTTTTCTGGTTGCTGATTTAAATCATGATTAAACTGACTAAGTTAAAGCATGTAAATTAATCTGCCTTCTATGATAAACTGTTTTTCCCTGCAAGAGTAGCAGGGTCAGCCAATTTGTGTGGCTGTGCAGCATCACCTTCACCCAGCAGAAGCCAACCACTCCTTGGTTTGAACTCCCAAATTTATTTTTTGGGGGCAGATCTGAAATCTAAGAAAGACTCATTTCAAGAGCAATGTAAGTTCATTGCAAGAGCTAACATCCTGCAGCTAGATAGCAAGGCAAGCAGTCACTTCTGCAGCTTTTACAACACATCTTCCCTACGTGAATATTTTCCTTAAGGAGAACTCACCGTGCTGAAAGAGTAGCCTTCATAAGAGTGGAAACGTCCCTGCATGCACACACAGGGCTGTCCATTCAGCTCCCCAAACACCAACCTGCCAACATGCCCTGCCACTGGAAATTAACAGAGTGTCATTTTAGTTACAGGTCTCAAGGACTTGGACTTAAGAGGGATCTCTTAGTTGATTTTGTTTTATGGCAGGGCCAAGCACTGCAAAAGCAGGAGCTGGAAATGAAATAAACACATATTTTTGTGCTATGATACTTATGGGTTTTTTTAGGGTTGAACACACATTTCACCAGTGTGGGACTGGTTTGCAGACTTGAGTGATCCCTGTGTGAGGAGGCTCTGCTGCAGGCTGCTGGTGGGTGGGGTGCTGGTGCCCTGAGCTGTGCTCACCCGTGCTCCGTGGGAAGTGAGGGATGTCCTCATACAGGAAGACTGTCTTGTTATCCAACACATCAGCCAGACCTCCCAGCCCAGACCCGCAGATGATGGCGATCCTGGGCCGCTGGGCAGCACGGGCACGCAACCAGTCTGCTGTTTCCTTATACACCTCGTAGCTATTTCTGCAGGAGGAGAACAGGTCTGTGAGACTATCAGCCCATTCAAAGAACAAGATTCAAAAGGTAAAAGTACTGAAAAGGTGCAGAGAAAAAGAAATTTCATTAAGACTATAATAATAGAAGCTTCACTGCTATTATTGAAGATGCATCACTTTTAATCTCATGTATTTTATCCTTGACTATGGGGAAATAATTTGAATCCCCTTAGCTGGTTTCATTCTGTAGATGAAGAATGGCTAATGATACCTAGATCACAGAAATGTCACAAGGCATAACCACTCCTGCTTCTGATGGGCTCTGGTCTCTGCTGAGTTCCTGAAGAAAGGCAAAAGCACAGTTACACTGAGAAATTCCAACCTATATGAGTGTTCATGGCGATGTCCAGCCCATGATGGGGAAATCCAAGTGTGTGGATTGTCTCTGAAGAACCTGAACAACACAGTTAGAGTGCTGTGCTGATGAAGGAGTAGACACTGTCATCTGCAGTGGGTAAAGATTCAGGTAAACTTCTGAGACATGGGTCAAGCATCATCTACAGAGATGGAAAAGCCAATCCTGTAAGTGTTGAGTGCCATCAGCTCCCACTACTTCCATCTAGGCTGGTAGCACATGTCAGACACCCACCTTCTCAATACCTCGTGCCTTCAGAACAGAAGGATAAACATGGAGACCTTACTCAGCCTCTTCTCTCCCACACAGTCAGCCTCTTCTCTCCCACACAGTGGGCATGGGATCACACCTGCAGGCCACACATTGCCAATGACATCGGTCTCCATCAAAACAAGTGAAAACTAGGAATTTGGGCTCCAGAGCTTAGACTGATTCAAGAGGGGGACTCAACAAATACCTTGGTTAAAAAAGTCTTATCCAGAAGGGAGCTGGTTAAAAAAGTCTTATCCAGAAGGGAGCCCCATTGCCTGAAGGTGGGACAGAAGTTGGCATTACAGTGCCTGTATATCTGTCTCATGGGAAGGGAAAAGAGTTCAACTTTTAACCTCTTAGCCCAGTATTCAGATGCCTTAATCACAGTTTTGAAACACGATCAATAGCAAAATAATCTTATAATCCTCTTTCCAATAGGACAATGCAGATACTTTCTGAAAGTCAATATCAAGGTTGATTGGAAACTATCCTCAAAAACAGGGGTCCTAACAGCAGATCTTGGAAGCAACTCAATCATTAGCATCGATGAGTAGAATTAATGATTGTACATGGTAGAGGACTGGGTCCTGGAGTGAACCAACACAAGCAGGGACAGAGGTTCTCTATATGAAAAGTTGATCTGATTATTGAAAGGTGAGAAAATCAGATACTGTGAGGCTGCAGGTGATGTAAAATTGACTGGAGGTGCTGATAAGCAGTCGCTGTCTGTCCAGGAATGTTTATTTTGTTTTGGGGTTTTTTTATCATGTCTCTTGTTTCAAGAGGTAAACCTTAATAATGCTGTGATGCTGCTCTCAGCAGTCTTAGAGGACAGACAGAAAAGCTTTCAAAGTGGTGCTCCTCACTCCAGAAGGTCTCAGGCCACTAAAAGGACTTGACTGTCCATGTACAACTGGTTCCACCAACTAAATATCTACCACATATTGAAACGAAGGTTCTCAATTCTATGCTTTTTCTTTCTTTATACTGACAGGGTCAGTAGTTATTGCACAGGTGTTTTCTGTGAGTATTTAATCTCTTAGCTGTCTAGTTATTACTGTAAGTCTTATCCAGCATATGATACATCAAACTTACGGTCCTAGTTACAAACTCTGACGTCAAAAATACCCAAAAATGTCATAAACCTGCAATCCAATAGGAAGAAATAACTTTCATACACATAGATTAAAATGAAGAGTCATACTTAGCTGAAGTACTTTTCAAAGGAAAGGTTTGGAAATAAGAGAGTTTATTTACCATCACATACTGAATTTTCGAAGTGTATCATGAGCTCTTGAAATAAGCAGGAACTGTGAAAGTGACATTAATAAAGACTACACTTGACTACGTTATCACTTGCTCCCAGACAAAAGATTTAAAAGTGCTTTACATACATTAATGAGCATTTCCCCCCAATTTCTCTGTTGAATAACTGTAATCCTTGTTTAGAAATTCAAGGGAACCAAGAGAATTTATATGTAATACCCAAGCTTTTGACATACCTGTGCCAGGCATGAGGAAAGAACAAGGTCACCAGGATCTGCTCTTCCTCGTGACCATAATACTGCTTGTTTCAGTTTTGTTGTTTTTTTAAAAGTGCATAAACCATTTCAAAATAACATAAAAGCATGGATATTATTCCTATATCCCCAGAAATTTTAGGAATGTGGGATGGAACCCATTCAATGTCTGCTGAAGACATCAGGACTGACTGAGCTATGCCAAGTTATAGTGAATTATTTTCCTTTTAAACAGAAGATATTAAAATACTTCTTAACCAAAGAAGTAAATCTCCAGTGCTGCATATGTTTCCTGCCTGAAAGGAGCTCCAGCAAGTGCACAGGGGCCTGGCAGAGCCCTGTCCATCCCTAAGGCTTTGGGCACATCAGAGCTGTCCCCAGTGCTGACAGCACAGCAAGGCCAAAATTAATCTGCTTGCAGTATTTAGCTTTCAGAAACTTTCTGGATGACATCAAAGGGACTGGCAAGCACTGATAATTTCTGAATGCAAGGGAGATACCTGCTCAGCAGGAGCAAAGGGGGAGTTTGACCCGTGGGTCACCAAACAGAGTGTTCGGCCTGGAACTGCATGAGCACAAGGCCTGTGCAAGCTTTTTGACAGCTTGAATTAATACATGTAGCACAAAGGCCCCTCTAGCTGCTCTAACAATGCACACCTAATAATAGTGCTCAGTAGCATCGCTTTGGATTAAATCACAGGATCAGCTGAAAACACAATCCCCTTTATTGTGATTGCTGTCATCCACTGGAGAAACGCATCTGTTGCAAAACACAGGACTGTCACCGGTGACAGATCCTTTATGGCATGAAAAGAACCCCACCCTTATTGTGATTCTAAGTTGGCTGAAAGCAAATCCATGTAGAAAAGCAGACATATCCAAATAAACAGCTAAAGCATTATGTTTGGGGGCACACAGCCATACGCATTTACAGTCAGTGCCTCTCCACAGGAGATATTTGCCTCTTCTGGCCCGTAACCTCTCCCAAGGTCACCTATTCGCTGCCATATTTCATAATACCAGCACCTGCACAGGCAGATGGCCAGATTCCTCTCCAATAATAAGATGTTTACTTCTGAGCAGCCTTTGTCTGACATTTATTGAGTGCCCGGCGGAAAGAAAACAAGGTGAGGAAAAGCGATGTAATTTTTGTTAGCCCCATCCAACTTGGACATCTGTGCATCCCCTATTTCACAGCACCTTACCTGTCTTCCTCAGCATAGGCCATCCTCCTCCTCTCTGGTTAACCAAAAGAAGGGGATGGTTGCTGGCAATGGATCTGCAGGGTTTTATTTGAGCTATAAAGATCTGAGGCCTATTGAACCTGCAGAAGCTGCTGCTGTCTCCGGCAGTGAGTCAGGGAGGTGTGTCCCAGCTTCTCCCTGCTGTCCCCTGAGCATCTCTAATCCCCGAGTAGGAGTGGCATGGTGAGTACATCTGCTTTTCTGGCCTCACCCCACATGACACACATGCTCTAGAGCTCTGCAGAAAGCTTACACGCATGCACACACACAGAGCAATGCAGATTAAGCCTAGAAATTTCACACGCACGCACACAACTTTTCAGCGGCTGACAAGGGATCTGCCTGGATTTGCACCTCTTGTGTCACCTGGGAACCAGCTGGAGTCACCTGCTCCTGTGCAATTCAAACCCCTGGGAGCGTGCAGACTCTGTGAGATGACCTGTACCACCTACCACTGCCACCAGACCTTTCCATATCTCACATCATTGCCTTCCCATTCTTTCATGGCAACCAGGGGTGATGACCCATTAGCTCCCCTCTGGGTTTTTCGTTCATATTTAATTGCCTCACCCTCCCCACAAGGAAATACTTTGAGATATGCTAAACCTCCATTCAGCAGATTATGGGAAACACAGGAAAGAAGACAGACACCCCACCATCTGTCCCTTTAATTTTAGCTTTGCTGTGTATGAAAACAAATTTAAAAACAACCTTGTCATATGGATCTGTTTGTGCATCGGTGTTTGATCCCAACAACTGATGTGAACCACATTTTACAGAGCCAGAGATGTTTCCAAGACAATTGAATGCCAAAAAAATTCAAGAAAAGCAGTGATGAATAGAGACCTTACACGCCCCAGCTGAAAGGCCACATCTACAATATGCATTCACAGCTTAATAGATCTAAAAAGGACACATGGGGCTAGAATTTATAAATAACCCAAGCAGGGACAAAACCTCGATTAAAACTTGTCAATTCTTAGACAAATCAGGCAGACATTGACGAAAATTTAGAACACTGGGCAGCACTCATTTCAGGTCTTGGATTTCTTATTTCTTACATTCCTCTTTCCTTTTTGATCTGGAAGACCTTGCATCAAACAGACCATTGTTGCCCCAGAAAACTGTCTCTGAGAACTTTAAAGTCAAACAAGGTAATAAATACAGCAAGAAAAAAGCAGGGCATTTTTAGAGAGAGATCTACTTCATGCTGGAAAGCAGAAACCCAGCAATGTCAGCTCAGGCTGGGAGTCTGCAAAAACCAGCAGAATTTGAAAATACAATTCTGTTTTATTTGTTGAAAAATACAGTTGGCACTGAAGAAATAGAAAATGGATCTGAAGAGAAATAATAAAGAGGGGCTTTCCCCTCAAGTTCTTGACCTTCTCCCTTTCTCTCTCAAGTTTACACTTCCATTTCTTTCTTACTTTCTTTTAGAAAGCTTAAAATGCCTCTTCTACAGAGACAAGCAAGTGGGTGCTGCCACTTCAGGACCCAGCAGTACATTGCTGCACTGACATGGTGCATCTTGCTCTTGGTTTGCTGGAGGCAGTGGGAAAATCAACATTAAGGATCTATAAATCATTTTCCTTTCTATGCCCTCTTTCTAACTCTGTTTTTACCATGTTTTCCCTCATTTTTTAGATATGTCTCATTTTTGTCATTCTTATTCTTACACTTCTGAATCTTGGTCATCTCTACCTCTGCCTGCTCTCAGTATATCCTCCTCTTTTCAGCACTGTTTTTCTGTACAAAAGCACAGCAGACTGAGAGCAGAAATGGTTTTAGGTAGATTTAACTGCACCAAACTCTGTGCTCAAAGAGGGCCCACAATGCTTGGCTGTGAGCCACTGTGCCAAAGGACTCTGCAAGTCACCACCACCCCAAGCAACATTCACCCAAACCCAGGGTCTTAGAGCCACTTCCCAGCTCACTCACGTCTTTCTGCCCTCTGGAAGCCCAGGCTCCTCTTGCCACTACTCAGGACTTATTTGAAACCCATTATTTGATGCCATTAAATTAAATTACAGAGCAATGTTAGGTCCTTAATGTTGATTTTCCATATAGTTTGTTGGTATCAGCAGAGTTCTGATGCCCCTCAGATATGTTCCCTTCTTCAGCCTTAATCTGATTACATTCATTAATCTGATTCTTTTTTGCAAAGCAGACAAGAGAGATCAGACAGCCTGAGAGCTCTTCCCAATTTGCTCTCATCTAAGACAATCTCCTTCCTAGTTTGGATTTACATGGAAAACAGGATTATCAAAAAGGAGCCATTTTATCTATCTTTCTGCAGTGTCTGTTATTTAACAGCAACAGAAATTACTTGAGTTTTAACCTGTAATGCCGCATTGGCTGGACAAGTACGAGATAAACGTTCATCCTACTAGGACAAAATTAATTTGAGCACTGAGGGCATTCATGCCAATTAGACTGCAGGGAATACTCCAAATCAGATTCATCTAGAAAAAGAAGGTATTGAATAGATTGCATAATGCTGAAAAAAAAGTATTGAGAGTCTTCTGTCCTGAAGGAATCTCAGTTGTCTCTGTCTGTATGTGTCTGCAGCAATTTGTATCTATAATCCTGATTTTACTGCCTTGGCTGTCATTCAAGCCCTGCTTCTGTATTGAGAACTTCAACTGCTACAGGATGCAGATACAATCACCTGAAATCATTTTCTAACAATGCTGTACATTTCTACAGCAATTTCCATCTAAAAAAGCGTCGTGAAGTATTTTGCAAGCATTTCTTCAAAACATTTAATTAATGCTTTAGGGAAAGTCTCCACTTCCCTGTGTACTGACATTATCACAGTATCAAATTATCTTGCAGTCTTCTCACACGTACTGCACATCACTCTTTTGAGAAGAGGAACTGAGCTGCAGAAATATTCAGAGTGTCTACACAGTGGGGACAGCCTACCCAGAAGAAAGTATGCCCCCAAAGCACTACAGGCATTACTTTGCCCTTACAGGTGCAGTGCTCACTTACCTGGGGGGAATTTCTCCCGGTCCTCTCATACTTAAGCCAGGATTGTGCCTCAGTGTTTTGGAGGAAGGTGAAATGGCTAAAGCTTGGAAAGATTTTGCTTTTCTGCTGACTACTGAAAGCACATGTTCCAGGTTTGATTAAAAAAATTACTGCCAAGAATTAATCAGGAATTTTGCAGCAATCTGGAAAGCCTTTTTGGGAAATTCATTATTGTCTGTACACTGGCTAGCCAAACAACCACTGGAGTCTTATTACCCACAACAAAGGTAAATAAAATCAAATTATATACCAGAAAAGTTATTCCCCAACAGATCATTTTAATAACAATTTCTAGCAAGATCTGCCTGGACTGGTGTGCGTGCTGCTCATTTTACATCGACAGGAAAGAGACCTCTGACCACAGTGAATGCAGCAAAGGGTTGGCCAGGGGAACAGAAAACCAGACGTTCAAAGAGCCTGTCATGGTTAGCTGAGCAAAATGAGAGCAAAGCAATGCTTCCATGACAGCCAGAAAATGTTGCCATGGAAGCAGGAGAGATACAGAAATTTAAGACAGGCAGCAGGAAACGGAGGAGATGCGTGTTCAGTTAGGCCAGACGTCAGAAAAAAGCTTCCAGCCGCCCAAAATATGCAGTCCTAAATAGCCCTCCTGTGAGGGCAGTGGAAAAAGGCTTTTAGGACAGAGATCAGTTAATGTAAAGGGTTTATGATGTTTACTGGCAGGGGAGCAGCCACAGCACTCACAAGTTGTATGCCTGCTCTGTAAAACCTCACCATCTTTATGAGACTCGGGCAGAAAGAGGAAGCAACTTGATGAAACCTGTGAAAAAATGATATCACAGAAATCAGTAAAAGAGCAGAGATGTCCTAATACCTGCCAACACTTCCAGCTCTAGATGTATCAAACAGCAAATGGTAAGTCTGGGGTTGTGGCTATGGGAGTTTCTGGAAGCAAAAGTACCTGTGGCAAGGAACTTGGAGAGAAAGAGTATAAAAAAGATTATTGGGGGATTTGAGGGAAAGGAATTGTACCTTCTGAAAGGATACAAACAGCACAACCAGGGATCAACAGTATGTCAGGCTTGGGATGAATGGATGGGCTTTTCAATGTGGAAGTGCTTTGAGGCAGGCAAAAAATCGGAGAGTTCAGGGGAAAGTGTGATGAAGGGCTGAAACAATACTTCAGTGAGGATAAGTGCAAGAGAAACCACAGATCCTGGTGGACTACAGACTAAAAAGGCCAGGTACCCCTCTGGCCTACAATAAACACAAATAACTTGAACAAAAAAGGAATAAGGAAGAAATGCTTTCAGGCCTGTCTCAGAAGAAAACAATTCTCAGATAATTAAATGATACTACACAGCTCCACGTATCACTAAGAATCCTTGACAATAGATATACTTCCCTGTTCAACACAGGTAAATGCAGTTCATATCCTGGCACCACAGGCAGCTGCTGGCCTGGGGCTCCAATATGCTTCTCCTTATGAAGGATATGACTTCTCTCTGGGAAGGTCATTTACACATATCAAAACAACACAGGACCAAAGTTTATCCTGCTCTGTGGTCTGGTTTCCTCTTCAATAACTGATAATACTTTCACACAGTGAAATGCCCAACCTTTCACTAGGTCTCAGGAACATCTCATTTCCCCAAAGTCCCCTTTGGAAAACACCGATTCCTGGAGGTCAGTAGTTGAACATACTACCACTTGTAGTCATGATCTGTCAGGATGCATTTGTGCTGTTCCAACAGGATCAATGCTTCCTCATTATCTTGTTTGTGGTGCAATAATAACACATTACTGAATAGTCTATAGGTTTTCCCTTTCATTTCAGTGGTTTTTGTTTAAAGAATCAAAGGTTAGACAACTGTACGTCATTTAACTAACTGGTTACATCAGACACTGTTTACTGGAGTTTCCCAACTCACTTTCCTTGTAGCAGATAGTGGCTGCAATTCCTCTGCTGATGAAGCAAAAATTTGCCTGACTTTGGACTGCAAGCCAGAAGCAGAACAAGAATGACCCTTACAGATCAGTCCCCAGATCAGTCATGGAAACCCACTTCAGTAAGGGCAACCAGCTGTCCCAGCATCATGTACCACATTGCAATAGATGATAGTGTTGTGATTTACACACTGACAAAGTTTAGATACTTTATTATCAATAAATCAAATCATAATCACCCACATAATCACTGTGGATGAGTCTTCTCATGTCTGACTGAGAGCCTCTCTCAACTGCTCTGCCACACTAATGCTGTCACCCCCATTCATAAATATCTTGTATCTGGCACAGTGATGGATAAAAGCACCGTGAAATCTGGTGCAAAATCATGTGGGTTTGGGACTGATCTTTAGAAACAGGGAGAAGTACTGGGTATCCCATGGAATCTATGGAAGTTTCTTCCATGGCTCAGCATAGTCTCCCCAGACAAACCCCTGCACACATCCAGTATGACTGAAAGAGCTCCCAAATGCTCCAGCCATAGTCCCCAGCTCCATCACACAGTATGG